ACATATATTCTCACATTGGGTCTAGGTCACAAAGACTGTGTGGAACAGCTCCAGTCCACAGCCCACACTTGGAGCATCTCTGGCCTAAAAGGTAACATTGCACTAACACTCGTCACACCTATCCTGCACCCTGCACTGTGCTGGGTGCAGGGATGTTACAGTTTACAGGACAGACAGGGTGTCTGCCTTCATATCTAGGCACAGAAAAAAGATAATCTGCTTGCAATAAAAGTTGTTAAAGAAACCAAAAGAAAGAAAAAATGTGATAGGATGGCAGGGAACATCTATTGTAAACTGAATATCTGGGGAAGGACTATTTAGGAAGCGCAAGGAAAGAACTTTTCAAAAAAAGGATCAGGAAGTGCGAAAGCCCCAAGGAGGGCAGGAGCTTGGTGTGTTCTAACACTGGAAGCAGGAAGTTGGAGCGTCATAAGGTGTTGAGATGCTGGGAGTGAGAGCACAGTGATGGGAGCCATGGAAGAGCCTGAAGGGTAGGGCCATGAAGGGCTCCAAAGGCACTCCTTTTCTTCCAGCAAATATTCAGTTAAATGCCATGCTTGCATTTTTACAACTGTTGAACCTTCTACAAATTGTATTAACTTATAGAAATCATCTAGCCTCTTGTTACTCCATGTGTGGGGTTCTGGGGACCAGTAGCATCAACATCACCTGGGAGTGTGACAGGCGTGTCATATCTCAGGATGGCCCTGAACCTGCTGGATGCATTTTGATGAGCTCCCCAGGTCATATCTACACATGTTGAGATTATAGGAGCCCCGATCCGGTGCATTGGATCTTGAAGGTGGCTGCATGGGGAGTCATTTAAAATGGTCACATCTGATGATCTGGATTCTGTAGTCTGGAGCTTCTGACTCAGTGGTCTGGGATGAGACTTGGGTATGGAGACCTACTGCAGGTCCTGGGGATTCCAGTGAGCAGCTAGGGTGTAACCTTGTGTGAGTCACTTGCTCTCTCTGGACCTGTGTCCTTTCTGCCCTCCTCAGGGTTTCTCTGATCATTTACCTGAGATTTCTCTGGTTGCTTTTGTTCAAGGTTGTATAAACCAGTTTGTTTCTCCCTTCTAAGACCAATAGGTTTCAGCGTTTAGGCAGAAGAGAGAACTGTTTCTCAGCTCTCCTACAGGTTTGCAAAGGGCATATCCCAGGCTCCTTTGAGGGAAAATGAATATCTTGCAGATGGAGACAAGCACTCAGAATTTTGAGTGAAAAACTATCTCCTGTTCGGAAGTAAGGAGCCCAAATGGAACAATGATTGCCCCTGTACTAGAGCTGCAAGGCCTCTTAGGGTCCATATGCATACCTCTACCCATTTCATGGATAAGGAAAACTGAGGCCCAGATAGTCTTCATTTCAACATCACATGATATAAGGGCAGGGCTAAAACCACAGCCACTCCTGTCATTTTTGTGACCTTGATCTCTTGCCACCCCATGTTTGAAGTTCAGAAACACTTGACGTAGCTAGTATTTATAAGGATGGGAAAACAACTGCTTAGTTGGGGAAGCTCTCTTACCAGTTTCTGGGTGACTCCAGGGGGAGCCCACTCGTAGGTGATGGTGTCAAAAGTGGGATCTTTCCCAGTGGCAATAGGGTTGGTCATGATCATCCGGTTCCTCTTATAAATCCGGATGCCGTCCCCACCTTTCACCCGAGCAGTGAGGGTGGAATACTTGGAGTCCATCAGCAAGCGGCCAATTTTCCGATCATCTTCTAGGTCAGAGGTTAGGCAGTGGTCCTCTTGGCTGCATTTGCAAGACTTGCATATTTTCCTGGGGGTGGGTGGATGGAGATGAGTGAGATTAACTTCCAGAAAGAAGAGGCAGATTCTTTTGCTAGCAAGCAGCATCTACCCTTTTAAAAGCAAGCTAAAACTTTAAGTTGGAAAGGTTAGCAGCAGACAAATGGTAACCTGAGACTAAAAGGCCTTTGGAATTGGGATTTGCATTTGGGAAATGACAGTGTTTATATTAATCTATCAGTGAGGAATGTAGGATACAACTTTCGCTGGTAAAAAGAGTGGCATGTTTTCACTCCTGCTGGTTGCCACGGCAAAGTCCGATTTGTTCATCAGAGATGCTCTAAAGCTGGGCTGGAGTCTGTGTGGCCCATAGCCTAAACCTGGCCCACAATCTGCTCTTGTAAATAAAGTTTTATTGGAATATAGCCATTCCCATTCATTTACATATTGTCGGTGGTTGATCCGGGGCAACAACAGCAGAGTTAGTAGTTACAACAGAGAGCGCCTGGCTCACAAAGCCTAAAATATGTACTTACTTT